TCACACATTCAATACTGTAATGTACATGGAAAACATATAACCTGAAGGCCCATAGGATGCATAGAATTTGAAACAACACAGTCAAACACATTAAACTAAAGGCCATAACCTAATCTAAGTGCAGACATACATGAACATCAGATTTGAGCAGTCAAATAAATTGCAATGAGAATTTCGACCATAAACATATTAACTAGGAACAGATATGTCAAGACATTGAAATAAATTTAGAAGACAGTATAAGTAACATGAGTATACACCACTGCCTTGAGAGGATGAGCTCAAGAGTCACTAGAAATGTTCTATAACATTCAGATGCAGATGACAAAAAAAATTGATATTCTTTCTACAAATGAGGGTAGTCACAGAATTTCTCAAGCTACTGGCACTACAATCAGCTACTGCCACCACTATCAGCTACTGCCACTATCAAAAACCAATGTCAGTAGCACTTAAAAACATAAAAAGAGAAAGTTTTAGCATGATACAAGGCTGTTTTCTCTTGTCTGTTTCTTCCTTGTCTGAGGTCCCTTTTAAACAATTTTTCTAAAAAAATTTCCCCTAACCATTTATGAAAGCTGTATAGTGTTAAGGTTTTTTTTTATTTTTGTGGGGGAAATTGATCCAACAGTGTCATATGACCGTTTTCCTTTTTTGAGAAAATTTTTTTCCCCCCCCAAAAAATTCCCTGAACAATGTTCAGCATTTTTCCCCATTTTCGGCAGGTTTTCAAACTTTTTTTAAAATCACACCAGACGTCTATTTTCTATGCTACTCAGAATTGTACATGTAAAAATGAAAAATAAGAAAAATTTTTAGCATCATAAAAGGCCTTAATTTCCAGGAAATTCCTCATGGAGGGGGGCTAAATTTTTCATTAAAACATAATGGAAAAAAATAAAACTAAAAATCTTGAAAAATACCCTAAAAACAAAAAAACGGTTTCAAAAATTGGTCTTTTCGGAAAAAGCAAAATTTGAAAATAAAACAAAAAATTGAAAAATAAATAAACATACCCCTAAAATAAAATTTTTAACCTTTTTTCAAGAATATCCCAAAAAAAATAAAAAGAGATTTTTTTGATGATCAAGGGCTGTTTTTTTTTGTTTCCCCCGTCTGAGGCCCCCTTTTACAGCACAAAAATTTAAAATAAAAACTAAAAAATTTAAATTTTAAACTTAAAAAAAATTTTTTCATGAAACAAACAAATTAAAACGGGTTTTTACGAGTGTCCCCTTTTTTAGAACAAAAACTGCCCTTTGTTGTGGGTCATATTGGAAAATTTTCAAAAAAGGGGAAATTCCCAAAGTCTAAAAAAATAAATTTAGTGTTAAAAGGAGGCACAAAAAACTTTTGGTAAACTATGGTTGTGCTTCGCACCATCCTTTTGGTCTGTTTGGGGCTTTTGGTAACTTTTTTGGGGGTGTTTTTAAAAAGGGTTTAATTGGGGCCTGTAAGGGGAAATGTGAATTGGTTTTTGAATTGGTAAAAAAGGGTGTTTCCCTGTGTACAAAAAAATTAAAAAAAAAAATATTTTAAAAATTTTTTTTTATTTTTTTAAAAAGAAAAGGATTAACCTGCCATCTTTAATAAAATAAACTTCAAAAATTAAAAATTTCTCCTTAATTATAATCCATATTTACTGACCCCCGGGCAGTCTGTACATAATTAGACAGTCCCTGTACCCCGTGGCCGGGCCCGGCAAAGCTCTCGTTCACACACGGGGGTCAGGTTAAATTCCGGCGGGGGGAAACTTTTTAATGCTTTCCCTTACACCGTTGTTGTTCCCCTAGCAGCAAGTAGGTCCTGGGGGTTAGTGAGGGTGTGGTTTACGCCCCCAAGGGAAATAAGAAGACAGTCCTCAAGGCACATGACTATTGGGGGTTTTACCCTGGGTGGTAACCCCCCGGGGTTTAAAACCGAATGAATTCTTTTTTAAAGAACATAAGAAAGGAGGTCACTGCAGCAGGCCTTTTTGGGCCCCATACTAGGCGGGCCCTTTAAAATCCACCCACTAACAAAACATTTGCCCAAACCTAAATTTTCAATGCTCCCCAAAAAAATAAGCTTGTAACTCTATCCACTCAAATCCAACCCCTCTCACTATTTTTTATCCAACCAAATTTTGAGGCTACCAAAAGTCCCAGCCCAATAACCCAACTAGGTAGATGTTCCATTTCATCAATCCCCTTTTTCCCAAAAACAAATTTTCCTATTCCTTTCTAAATCTAAATTTGTAAAATTTAAACCCCATTATGCGGGTTCTCTTTGGGAGAGCATCCCGAGCCCTTTTTAAAATTCCCTTTATTAAACCATTTCCACTTTTATTTGATCATACCCCCCTATTTTCTTTTAAAAAGTGAATGTAATTTAAGAGTTTAAATCTTTTTCATAGGGGGAAAATTTCTAATGCTTTTTATTAATTTTTTCATCCTACACTGAATGTTTTCTAACGAAATTTTGTCCCTTTGTAAATGGGGACCCGAACTGGCTGCTAAAACTAGGTGAGGGGTTTTCTAATGATGTATAAAGCTGCAGTATGACCCTGGATTCGTTAGTTACAAATTCTTGATTTTAAAAACCCAGTAATCTTTTTGCCTTATTACAATTTAGGCACTGCTGTCTTGTTTAAGGTTTCTGCTTACCCTAAAACCCAAGTCCTTTTCGCAATCTGTATGGCTAAATTTAATTATTTAACTTATAAGTGACTTGAACAGGCGATAAAAGACTGCCCCTGCCTTGCCCCGGGCCAGACTCATGGAACTCTGGTTATCAAGAACTGCAAGAAGCCCCTATCACGAGCCCTTTTTCCCTCCCAAAGGAGGGGAGCATGGAAGGGGGTCGTCCCTCAGTTTCTAAAAAAACAGACTTTGCCCCCCTCAAAAAGGGGGGAGTAAAACAATAGCAAAGAACTACGACAATTGCCTAACTCCCTATATAAAAAACTTTGAAAGGGTCCAAGAAGCAAGATCACCCCATCTAGAAACCCCTGTTACCAACCAGGGCAACATGGGTTTTGAAAGGCGTCCCGTCTGTCTCAAACTATTGGTCACACGACAAGGTCTAAATACTAGAAGACAAAAAAAATGCAGATGTAATATATAAGACTTTTCAAAAGCCCTTTGAAAATGTGACCATGGGTAAAAAGCGCACAAAATGCGTGCTTTTAAGGGGAAAAACGGAAAAGGGCGGTCGATGGTTATAATTTCCTCACTAAGAAAAAAGAGAGTAGTCGTCAACAGAGTTAAAATCGGGCGCTACGGTGAAAAGCCTGTTCCCAGGGCCCGTATAGCTCCATTTTTTTCCCCTCCTTTTTTCCGACATAGACAAAAGGATGTCAGCACAGCCCGTGTCTTTTTGCAGATGACACCCCAATCTGCATGACGTGTCCCTTTCCATTGCGACACTGCAAGGCTCCAGGCGGATATCAACCAAATCTTTCAGTGGCTGGGGGAAAACAATATGAAGTTCAACAATGTGAAATTTCAATTTCTCAGATATGGTTAAAAAAAGAGGAAATTAAATCTTCATCAGAGTACAAAACAATTCTGGCCAAAAAATGGGGAAACACCAACGTCAAAAAACCGGGAGTGATTATGCGGAGGATCCACCTTCAAGGACCCTAACATTGTATCAATCGATTGCTGAAAAATGACGGATGGTAAGAGAACTTCAAAAAAGGGAGGCCAAGCCCATGATGCACTCTTCGGTCACTTGTTTATCTGGCTGGAAAATTCTGCACTCAAAAAAGCACCCCTTTTAAAGGAGGTGAAAGCCGCCTAGAAAAAAAGTACAGAGAACTTCCGCGCGATAATGGGATAAAAAAAACCTCAATTTCTGGGAGCGCTTGGGTTTCTAAAACCCGTATTCCCGGAACGAGGGGGAGAGAAATGTTTTTTCACCTGGAAAATCTAGAGGGACTAGTACCGAACTTGCACACGAAAATCACCATCGAAAACAAAAGACTTGGCAGACGATGACCATCCCCCCAATGAAAAACAGGGGGGGGCACTAGCACGTTAAGAGACCATAAAATAAGTGTCAGGGGCCCGAGACTGTTCAACTGCCTCCCAGCCACTAAGGGGGGGTTACCAAAGACCCCCGGCAGCTTCAAGCTGGGGGGACAAGCACCTAAAGTCGTTCCTGATCAGCCGGGCTGTGGTTCGCTGGTTTGCGTGCAGCCAGCAGCAACGCCGGTTTTCAGGGGGTGACCACCAGGAGGCCTGGTCACAGACCGGCCGCGGGGGGGTTGACCCCCCGAAAATTTTCCAGGTAAACCCCGGTAAATCCCGAGTTCTGAACTTGCATTTATTACATTGAAGCTCTGCCACTTTTCTGACCCAAAAATAAAAGTTTTTTTAAAACTTCTGAAGTTCCCTAACTTTTCGTTTGAAATCAATTATCCTACCTATCTTTGTGTCATGGCGAATTTGCTAATCATAGTAATCCTTCATCAAGATCATTGATATTATTAAAAACAAAGGGCCCCAAAATGATCCCGTGGGAAAGCCACTTTTACTGATCCCCACTCGGATTTTAACCCCCCTTTATGGACACTCTTGCTTCCCGTCTGTGGCCATGATTCGATCCAGAGAGCCCTTCCCCCCAAAGCCCCTGAGTGCCATTTCTTTAACGTCTTTTGGGGCGGAATCTATCAAAAGCCTTACTAAAATCAAAGTAAACAAAATTTAAACTTTTGCGATGGCTTCCCCCCTTATCCCCCCCCCCCCAAAACTAAGAATTAAGGCTAAAAACCATATTTTCAGTTAGTAACAATAGTTCAATTACCAGCAGAATATTAGGTAAATGGACATAGATGAAACTAATGTGACACTTTACTGTGGTAATGCTTCGCTCTCCAGGAGCTTTGTCAAAATTCCTGGGGAGCAAAATGTTGCCAAAAAAAAAATGTTATATTAAATGAATCCGTGTCCACTTACCTAATGTATTTCAAGTTATACCACCCACCCTTCAAATCAAAATTAGGATGCAGAATTTACCTTAGGTAACAAGCCATGTAGCTAAAGTTTCTGGCAATGAAGATACGACTCCACTGCAGACTGCACTGCTGACCTGCAATATATTTCATCATTAGTTGGAGTCATTCTTTGAATATTTTGTTTTAAAGTAATTAAAAGAAACTTTTGTAAGATAGGACATTAAAAATGTGAAAATTTTTGGTTCCAGAATAAACTTGTATTATTGCAGCTAATAAAGGTATACATAAATCCACCTTTCATTTTTTAACAGGGTAATTTCTTAACTCTACCTGATTATGAATAAAAATATGCTTTTAATACCAAAGGAAAGCTACTAATACAGCAAATAAGAATATTTTTTTTAACACATCAGCTGTTTCCCACCAAGATAGGGTGGTCTGAAAAAGAAAAACTTTCACCATCATTCACTCCATCAGTTTCTTGCCAGAGGTGCACTTACACTACAGTTATAAAACTGCAAAATTAACACCCCTCCTTCAGGGTGTAGACACTATACTTCCCATCTCCAGGACTCGAACCCATGTCGTTTTGGCCCGCCTCATAGAGAGTGAAATCACATGATGCTCTAATCCACAGGACCACCAAATCCTACACGAGGCGGGCCAAAACGACATGGGTTCAAGTCCTCGGCTACTTGCAGTGTTGTTACTGATTAAATACTGTACCACTCTTTCGTGGTTACAATAATATACATACTGCTCGTGGAGGCTAGTACACCAAATGGGTAGTAGAATGAAATTAGCTCAGAGGCACCCACACCACCGTATGTCCTCAGATCACAGTAAAACACCTAGCTGGGGTGGGTGCATGATTCTTGCAGGATTTGGTGGTCTTGTGGGTTAGAGCATTGTGATTTTTGCTCACCATGAGGTGAGCCAAAATGACATGGGTTCGAGTCCTCGGCTAGTCGCAGTGTTGTTATTGATTAAATACCACTCGTTTGTGGTTACAATAATACATGTATATATACTGCTTGTGTAGGCTAGTACACCAAACAGGGGGTAGAATGAAATTAGCTCAGAGGCACCCACACCACCGTATGTCCTTGGATCATGGTAAAACACCTAGCTGTGCTGGGTGTGTGATTCTTGTAGGATTTGGTGGTCCTGTGGGTTAGAGCATCATGTGATTTTCGTTTACCATGAGGCAGGTCAAAACGACATGGGTTTGTGTCCTCGGTTAGTCGCACTGTTATTGATTAAATACCACTCATTCGTGGTTTTATATATGTCTGGAGTTTACCTGGAGAGAGTTCCGGGGTCAACGCCTCCCGCGGCCCGGTCTGTGACCAGGCCTCATGGTGGATCAGAGCCTGATCAACCAGGCTGTTACTGCTGGCTGCATGCAATCCAACGTACGAGCCACAGCCCGGCTGGTCAGGTACTGACTTTAGGTGCTTGTCCAGTGCCTGCTTGAAGACAGCCAGGGGTCTATTGGTAATCCCCCTTATGCTGGGAGGCAGTTGAACAGTCTCGGGCCCCTGACCATTAAGACTACAAATATTTTAAGGCAAGTAATAAGTGTACACTATATGCATTTTATCACTCAAGAGCGCTTTAAATGCCACAGACACTTTACTCTTGCATGCAAATAAGTCACGTGAATCTTACCCAAGATACATTACGTTGGTAAAAGTTTGAAACCGATTAGAAAAGGCATTCTCTAATAAATGACCTGATTCCCACATTTTCAAGTTTTTTAACTATTTCAGTAAAATTTCAAATTTACACGTATTCGGGGTGAGCTCATGGGTTATCATCCTTATTATAGAATGTATCGTCAATAATATTTTGAAGCCAGTCAGAAGAAGCATTCTTTAGTTATTGAATAAAAAAAATGAATATCTTATGCTGAATGTTGGAGACAAAGTACAACAAGTAAAGCTAAATTACGTTTTATAAAATTGCTCACAACCAGTATCCCCAACATCTTACTGCAAATTTTGTTAAGGCCGGGACCCAATGCAGTTATAGAACTTGGGCAAGGTTACTTAGTTTAAGAACATAAGAAAGGAGGAACACTGCAGCATGCCTGTTGGCCCATACTAGGCAGGTCCTTTACAATCCAAATATGTTTATTATGCACCCCATACCCATTCTGTGGGCGGTAATCAAAAAGATTACAGAGGTACATAATGGGTACAGGGACTGGGCCCCAAAGTTTAAATAGCTGAACAATCTACAAGTTGAATAGGTAATGAACTCCAGGTAAATCTGGTCATAATCATGACCAAGTTACAAAGGTAATGAATCATCTACACGTCTATACATGGTTACTGTGGAAAATACTGGAGTTTACCTGGAGAGAGTTCCGGGGGTCAACGCCCCCGCGGCCCAGTCTGTGACCAGGCCTCCTGGTGGATCAGAGCCTGATCAACCAGGCTGTTACTTCTGGCTGCACGCAAACCAACGTACGAGCCACAGCCCGGCTGGTCAGGTACCGATTTTAGGTGCTTGTCCAGTGCCAGCTTGAAGACTGCCAGGGGTCTGTTGGTAATCCCCCTTATGTATGCTGGGAGGCAGTTGAACAGTCTCGAGCCCCTGACACTTACTGTATGGTCTCTTAACTTGCTAGTGACACCCCTGCTTTTCATTGAGGGGATGTTGCATCGTCTGCCAAGCTTTTTGCTTTTGTAGTGAGTAATTTTTGTGTGCAAGTTCGGTACTAGTCCCTCTAGGATTTTCCAGGTGTATATAATCATGTATCTCTCCCGCCTGCGTTCCAGGGAATACAGGTTCAGGAACCTCAAGCGCTCCCAGTAATTGAGGTGTTTTATCTCCGTTATGCGCGCCGTGAAGGTTCTCTGTACATTTCTAGGTCAGCAATTTCACCTGCCTTGAAAGGTGCTGTTAGTGTGCAGCAATATTCCAGCCTAGATAAACAAGTGACCTGAAGAGTGTCATCATGGGCTTGGCATCCCTAGTTTTGAAGGTTCTCATTATCCATCCTGTCATTTTTCTAGCAGATGCGATTGATACAATGTTATGGTCCTTGAAGGTGAGATCCTCCGACATGATCACTCCCAGGTACTGTACATATTTTCCAGAAACACGGTAATTTATAGGTAAATAGATGGCCTATATTGTATTTAATAAATTACGTTATCGAAAATGGGAACCTGCGCCTGCGCAGACGACACTGGCCATTGTTGTTTGTTTTGAATTGAGAGTAACAGACATTTGTTAATAATGTGAAGAATTTTCGTGCTCTAGAGGTAAAATTGGGTTGACACCTCTCAAATAGGAAGCGAAATTGTTGGATGTGCATTCCTGCATAACTTGAGACATCAGGCGACTGGACAAGACAGCTCCAGGAACCTCAGATAAGCTATTTAGATTTATGTTATAATTCTGGCCAGTGTTTTCATAAATTTAGTTAGTGAGGTTTTCTGAGTATGATACACCTTAATCTCCAGTCAAATTGGCGAGTGATATTAAAACATTCTCTTTCTGTTATGTATATGTGTCTATATATAATCATTTATTATTTTTAATATACAGTCCACAAATTTATATATTTACCAACATTCCTGGTGATACATATTTTATTTGTAATTAATGGGTCCAAAGCAACTTGTGGATATGACAGTGGTAGGTATCGAAGGGGGACATTTTTTGCCACCTAGGTGTCCCAAATTCCTACTTGTCTAACTGATAAATAATAATTATCTATGTTCATTTACTGTTATGTACATAATGATACATTCAGATAAATGTAATTTTCCACAGTTACAATCATGAACAAATTACAAAGTAATGAGCAATTCACAAGTCCACACCCGGTCACAACTGTAATGGGCCAACAGGCCTGCTGCAGTGTTCCTCCTTTCTTATGTTCTTATGTAAACACATGTTGAAAATCTGAAGCCGGTTGGACGGGGTGTTGTCGAATAATGAGCAAAATAAAATCGAAAAGCTGTAAGAAAAAAACAATTCTAGCAACCTCTTAAAGTTACCCCTTCGTGGATACCTAATTTAGAATTAACAGAATATTCCCATTACGTGGGGGTGATGATGGGTGCGACGGAGTTTTCTCTGTTCCGTCCTGCCGTCGTAGGCTCCGGTGTGCAAAGTCAGCTCAAAGACATGCTAGATGGTCGTAAACGATAGAAATTACGTTTATGGCCACTTAGCACGGCATCAGGCATGACGTTATAGTCCATACTTGTGCGAATCTTCAAAACAACCCGCTGTCAGCAAGGATGGGAGCTGCAACTCATCCCGGTTTGTGTAGCTACAACGCTAGCCATTACTTGTGCATCAAAAGAATGGCAGAAATATAGTCACATGCGATCCTGTAATACATTGAACAAAAGGTTTTACTGCAACGAAAACTATTATGTGAGAAGTGTTGCTGAAATATAAACTATTTTGTGAAGCGTGTGGATATATAATAAGCCATTTTGTGTTCGGGTCTAAAAAAAGTATATATATATATATATATATATATATATATATATATATATATATATATATATATATATATATATATATATATATATATATGCGACATATAATGATGTAACAAGTATCAGATATGACTACACTACAAACCAGTGTGTCATGCGTGTGACTAAAATATTAACTACCCTACCAAATATCTCGCATACGAATAATGAAACACTGGAGTAGGTCTACTGCCCATGTTAGGCAAGTCCAATTATAGGAAACACAAAATTTCTATGCTAGATATGTAGTTAAAATATGTGACTACAATACCCACCACCGCTCCAGATACAAGGGTTAAATAAATGTTACTGCAAGATAAACGTGTATGTGTAACAACCCTAACCATGTGTGTGAGTTTACAACATAGACCATCGTGTCACAAGACTGGTTGAAATGCGAGTCAGTGTAACAGTGTAAGTGCTATACCAACCAGTATAAAAGACGTAACTGGTATATAGGAGTCTTCAGGTTGTTCTTCAACTCTATATATCTTTGGTTACGCCTGATTTAGATCATGCTGCAGTTTTGGTCACCATATTACAAAATGGATATAAATGCTCTGGAAAACGTACAAAGGAGGATGACAACGTTGATCCCATGTATCAAAAACCTTCCCTATGAGGAT